GCCCCGAAAGCCTCGGTGGGATTGGAAGGCCAGAGCTTGCGCCGAATTCAAGCACTTTACGGTGCCCTTTGCGGTGAAGGAGTACGTGCAGAATGTTGTTGGTCAGCCCTTGAAAGAGTTGAGGGTTAGAGAGTGGTCAGACTGGCAAAGGGAAGATTTAAGAGTGTGTCTCACCGCTACATGGCCTGCAACAACTGACGCCCAATAACAGGACGTACCGGCGAAGGAGAGAGAACTGCGGAAGCAGTCGTTAATCGCTGCGTACCCGGGCCTGCTCACTGGTCCGGACGGTGCTGCTATCAAGCGCTTAAAAGCATGGGTTCCACTCTACATCTTGTCCGCGACGATTCCGCAATCCCAGCTTCGGACGGTTTTTACAACGACCGACCTGCAGATTGCTATCGTGGTTTGGTACCATACCGCCATAGAAATACCTGCGCTCTCGGTATATAACAACCATCTCGACGCCGAAGCCAAGTTCTCTAGCTTTACCGTCGACGGCGCATCCACGAGCAGAGATAACGAGTGGGCCGTGGGCGAAAAGGGGAAAGGGTTCATCTTGGCAACCCAATTCTTGCTCGAATGGGTCGAGCAACATCTCGCGCTCATCAAAAGCCAAGGGCGCGTGGTGCCCAAGGATGTGAAGGCCGCGGTATCCTTCTGCGTTGGGCACCAAATCGGTACTTTGAAATGGAAGAAGTCTCGTTACCCGGACGAGGATGATCTGCTTCAGGTTATCCTTGACGATCTCACTCCCCGCACGGTCGACGAGTATATGGAGAAGCAAGGTATGTGTCGTGAAATCCTCCTGTTTAGTTGGGACTGAATAGTAATCTACCAGCCGCTGACGCCCGCTACAAAAATGGTGATTCCGACGAGGACGAGGATGACCATGACGTGGAATCGTACGGGTATCCATCTGCGATTGCCGAAACACCTAAGCTGCGCAAGGCGTCCGAGAGTGCATTGAAAGGGATTTTTACCCGCCGACTTACACAACAGCTCGACAGCAAAGGCGACCAGCATGACCGTCGTCGGTCCCTTGAAGTTGTGTCTCGTGACGAGGTTTCCATTACCGTCATTGGTCTCAAGGGCTCATTTCAGCCCGAATATCTTTTCTCGGCCATCTACGGAATAATCCCTCCCCCTCAGGCATGGCGTGTTCCTGGGTCGCAAGTTGAGTTCTTTCTCGCAGCCCCTGACACTACAGCACCCGACTCCCAAAAGTCGACCCGCACGAAATTCTACCATCACGATCAGTACGTTCCCTACGGCCTCCATCTCAACACGCTTTCTATCGATTATCACGGCGACTTGAATATCACCTCTGACCGGGTCGCCATTCTCCGCGACGACAAGGTCATCGCCTACAAAATTGCCGTATCCAACAGCGCAGATCAGGCATTCAGAACGATTCCAGACTTGGCCCTGGAGCTGGCGCTGGACATCCTGTCGGATCAACACTCGGAGGGCCTGGCGCACCTTGTCCGCCCAAACGACAAAGACGGGGCTGATGCGTACCACGACGCTTTTGAAGCGGCTATGCGCAAGATGCATCCGGAGATCCCAGCCGATGCTCTTATTCATCCGACCCCTGATCTGGCCCAGGAGCAGCTGTTCACCGAGCTGGATCTTACGCCTGTCGAAGTATCCTCCAAGGCATGGGAGATCATGGAGAAGTCCGGGGCGTACATCACGATCGAAGACTACGCCCGTCAACTTCTCCTGTCCGCGCCTGCCGTCCCCACCTCGAAAGGCCTCGAGCGGCTCCGCGTTGCGATCTCCGTTGTAGCGCCCGACGTTCCTCCGGATAATATCACGGTCCGCGACTACAACAAACGACTCCCAATGTCGTGTGGGACAAGGGTAATAATCTGTTTGCATTCGCCCTCCCCCCGATCTGCGAAGATCATCCGGCGACCCAGTGTCTATGTTGGGTGGGGCCTTTTCTCCACGACGCCGCGAGGGATTACGATGGCGCGCAGCTTGGTACCAGGAAGCTGTTCCGTGCGTATCTTCTATGCATGCATGGCGACGCGAACATGGAGGACGATAGTATGGATGTCGGTGGGTGGATTTTAGTGCTGCCGCTTGATCGCAAATTATTGACAATTAACAGACGAGACACCGAACGAAGACCCCCAAAACCGCAAGGAATCGGCGACGGCTCGAAGGCTAGAAATCACTTTCCCCGTCTTTTGAATCACCACTCTAACTGCCGTTACAGTGTTTCGCCCGTCGTAAACCGGGCGACTACTCCCCGTTCTACCACTGCATGTAAGTTCACAATGTTATTCAACCCAAAATGCTGCTCATGGAGCACCAGCCACTTCGGGCGTTCAATCCGGGCCCAAGTCACCTACTGTGACGGTCTCGAAGGCGGCAAACACCACGTCCCCTCAGCGCCCTCGGACACCAGTACGAAAATCCACCACCAACACATCGAGCGTCCAATCTGCGCGTAAATCGCCTGCTGTTGCCAAGCCTGCAGCCGTCCAGACCCCGCAGGGTCCTCGTACGTCAGCGCCACAATCCGCGGCCAACACGGCCAAGAGGGACACTGTTAATTCCGCTCCCCGTGCGCCAACCGCGGAGAAGGCGCCGACCGCCGCGTCGTCATCATCTAGTGAACCTGTGCACAAGGCGTCGCATCCAGTTCTCTCCGCAGCCGACGAGGACACTGCACTAACCGCCATGTCAACCATTGTCGCGAATTACAAGGTCCAGAAAGCGGCCCTCGAGAACGCGCAGTCCGTCATCGATGGCTTGCAGCACGAAATTGACGTAGGGAAGATCCGCAGAGAGAATTTGGAGACGCAGGTAGATGTGCTCAAAATCGACTGCGCGACGCAGCAGCGCCGCATCGAGGAGCTCATCCGCATTGGGACTGATAAGGACGCGGAGATTGCGTCGTTGAATGTCACAATGGCGGAGTTGGAGGAGCGGATTGATGAGGCTAATGCTGGGATCGAGGCGTTGTTTGTGAAGTCGCGAAAGAGGCCGCGCATAGCTTGATTCTCTTTGAATCTTGCTTTGGATATCCTAGGACAACATTGGAACAACTACTTGGAAATGTACATATGTAGAAATCGCGCATTTGACGTACTGGAGTCTCGCATTGAACACTGCCAATTCTCCTTCGCAAGAGAAAACCTCCGTTCAATGATTTCCAAAGCTCTTTTTGTATGTCTTCGTTTCGCCGTATCCATCCTCCAACAAATTCTGTGGTTGGTTTGGGGTTTTATGTTGGCTTTATGGGGTGCATAGGCGAAAATCAAGCAGGTTTACTGATCTATCCATCAGCCCAGAAATACTGGGATCTTCTTCAAAGCGGAGCGTAGGCTACTAGTAGTTACTACTTGCAATTCTCCTCCCCAAGAGCCAGCCGGGAACTGCAGGTCCCGGTTTGATCCTTGATTGATCCACCGGCATTGCCGCCGGCAGCTATTTGTATAAAGGTCCACGCGTTCATGCCCCTCCCTCTCCAAACATGCCTCGTCTCGCCGCCGCGGAGTCGTTCAACGCTACCTTTGCCCCCGACTACATCCCTGTCGCCGTATTCGCAGGCGGGACCTCCGGTGTCGGGCAAGCCATGGCGGAGGCTCTCGCGCGCCTCACCCACGGCTGCGCGCACATCATCCTCATCGGCCGCAACGCGGAAACCGCGAACAAGATCCTCGCGAGCCTCCCCAAGCCAAACGACCCGAAGGGATGGAAGCACGAATTCGTTTCGTGCGACGCGACGAGTATGGCGGAGGTGCGCGCGACGTGCGCGGGGCTTCTCGCGCGCCTGTCGCACATCAACTTCCTCGTGATGAGCGCTGGGGCGAATTCGCTGGTGGAGTCGAGCGATACAAGTGAGGGGCTGGACCATCATCTGTCGCTTCGGTGCGTTGCGCGAACCTAATTTTCCAAGACGATCTGACTGCGATCTCAGCTATTATTCGCGCTACGTATGGACGAAGGAGCTGCTTCCCCTCGTCTCTGAAGCGCGGAGACTGGGACAAGAGGCGCGCGTGATGAGCATCCTGGGTGCTGGGTTTGGCAATGCAATCAACACGGACGACATCGGGCTGGATAAGGCGCGCGCAAAGACCATCAAGCCATTGAAGGGCGCTATGCTTGTACGCACCTTCCTCAGTCCACCTTCTTCCCACCATCTCCCTCTTCCGCCGCTAATATTCAGATCCTCTCAGTCATTCGCGGCCGTGAAAGGTATGATCACCAGCCCCGGGCTGAACGATGCCATGATGGCCGTGGGTGTCTTACTCCGAATAAATCAAGTAATAGTTAACAATCCCATCGACCTAGTAGTGGTTCGCTTCGCAAAACCCCGACCTCGCATTCACGCACATCCACCCCGGCTTGGTGCGCACCTCGGCCTTCCATTTCGAATTTGGCTGGCTCCTCGCGCCCCTCGCGTGGCTTGTGCAATATATCCTCTCGTGGTTCGCCATTTCCCAGGTATGCATGTTCAGTGATTTCTATGTTTCGTTCCGCGCACGAAAGACATCGATACGTATTACGAATGACGATGATGATGCCAGTGCTAACTCCTGCACAGGACGAAGCCGCGCAATACATGCTCTACGCCCTCCTCTCCGGCGTGCACGGGCTCTTCCTGCGCAGCCCCAAGGGCGACGTCATCAGCGCGCATGCGTTCGACGCGCCGTACGACTTTTCTGCGGTCGATCCCAAGGCGCCTACTGCTCACAAAAATGTGTGTTCCCCTTCCCTTTTCGTCGATGCGCCCCTGTTAAACATTCATTTTAACAGGGCTACCTGGCAGGCGTGCGGCTGAAGGGGTACAGCGGCTCGGACGTGAGCGTGCGGAAGGTCGTGGAGTATACGGAGGGGAAGGTGTTTCCGCGGACGTAGCGTGACATCCTGCTAGCGCATTTTTTCCCTTTTTCTTATATAATAATGAATTTCCCCTTTCTTATTAAATGATTCTCACCCTCAAATATGCCTGGATATCCAACTGAAATGGGAGTAATAGCGACTCGGTGGCGGATGGTCCGCATCTGCTTCATGTACATATGAATGATCCTTCTAACATTAGGCGGAGGGCGTTCGTTCGATTCGGGCCCGAGTCATGGGGAAGTGTAGGTTTCTTGTGTGAATCGTTTTTTATCCTCATGGTAGTTGAATTAGGACCAAGAGTGGAACACGATCGCCATTTATAGGAAATTTGACCATGGCAAAGATCAGACACATTCCTTCTTCAAAGGAAGACACTCGCTTCGATGACCTCAACTTGCCTGGATATCCAAGCGAGAAATGAGAATATCATCAACTCGGTGGCGGATGGTTCGCATCTGCTTCATATGAAACAACAGGCTCAGCGGTGTTTCGGTAAGAGGGCGCCCGTTCGAGTCGGGCCCGAGTCATAATCCAATTTATTGATGTTTTTTTTGCAGCTGATTGTGGTTTTTACTTTTTTGTCCTCATCGTATTTAATTTGGGGCTAGGAATGTTAGGAATGCAGTACGATCGTACTATATTTCAACATGGAAAAGATCAGACACATTCCCTTCAATGCCTTCTTTCCTGGATATCCGAGTGAGAAATGGGAATACTAACGACTCGGTGGCGGATGGTCCGCGTCTGCCTTACTTACGTTTCGCCGTGAATATCCCGCAGAGGGCGCCCGTTTGATTCGGGCCCGAATCATTGCCCAAGATGTTTCGTTTTTTTAAGCTTCTGGTTTCGCACGCATTTTCGGCAAGAGAATCATATTTATTGTGTGCAACACATTCTAATCCATCATCGTATTACAGTACAACACGGAACCGCAAACAGCAATATATGCAGTCCCTTTAAAAAGCTCACCTGCAGAGAATCTCACCCTCTAACTTGCCTGGATATCCAAGTCAGAAATGGAAATACGAACGACTCGGTGGCGGATGGTCCGCATCTGCGTTAATTGGGAGAATTCGGCCCAGAGTCCCCGTTCGATTCGGGCCCGAGTCATGTTGGTAAACTGATTTTTTTGTGCAGCTGGTCCGTGGTTTTCCGGTTCTGCTATCGATTTTTGTCCTGATTATGTTTATTTCTGGAGCTAGGAATGCCGCAAGAGTGTTATTTATATTTCAACATGAACCCAAAGATCATATCGACCCCACCTCCATTGCTCAACCGATCTCCAAGTGAGAAGGAAGATTAACAACGACTCGGTGGCGGATAGTCCGCATCTGTTTCATATAAAACTAGAGGGCATCGGTATTTCGGCAGAGGGCACCCGTTCGATTTGGGCCCGAGTCATGGAAGATTGGTTTCACATTTTTCCCCGTCGCGTCTGTTTCTGGGATCTATTTTTGTCCTCCTTGTATATAAGTACTCTGTGGCTCCGAATGGAACACGATCGTCATCTATAGCGTATTTCAGCATGAGCCCAGAGACCATACGTATTCACTTTGGAACAAGTACACGCCCACAACAAACCTCACTCCTGTCGCGCTCTCGAAACCACCCCTAATGGTCTCCAACTTACCCACGTACCCACGTCTGAAGGAGGAATACCAGCGACTCGGTGGCGGATGGTCCGCATCTGCTTCATATGAAACTATGGAGTCAACCGTGTGACACCCGTTCGATTCGGGCCCGAGGCATGTCTGTGAAGCCGTGTTGTTTTTGTGTAGCAGGTTGTGGATCGGTTTTTGTACTCATCATATTTTTTGGGCTAGGGATGGAACACCCTCGTCATCTATAGCATATCTCACCATGAACCCAAAGATCATATGCATTTCTTTCAAAACACCTACCTCTAATGACTCAATCAATCTCCAAAATGCCTGTATATCCGGGGAGGAAGGACAATAGCATCGACTCAGTGGCGAATGGTCCGCATCTGCGTTAATTGGGAGAATTCGGCCCAGAGCCCCTGTTCGATTCGGGCCCGAGTCATGTTGGTAAACTGATTTTTTCTGTGCAGCTGGTTGTGGTTTCTCTTTTTGTCCTCATGGAACACCCACCTCCAATGGCCGGGCTCAATCCGACTTGAGTAGAAGGCATGATAACGACTCGTTGGCGGATGGTCCGCATCTGCGTCAATTGGATTTCCAGGCTGAATTCGGCAGAGGGCGCCCGTTCGATTCGGGCCCGAGTCATGGCGAAGTCTTGGCTGAATTTTTTTTATGTACCTGGTGGTGGATCGCTTTTGTCCTCATGATAGTTAAATTAGGGCTAGGAACGGAACACGATAATCATTTATAGGAAATTTCATCATGGCAAAAATTAGACACATTCCCTTCAATGGAAGACACACACGTCTTGCCTGGATATCCAAGCGAGAAATGAGAATAACAGCGACTCGGTGGCGGATGGTCCGCATCTGCTTCATATAAAACCATTAAGTCGACCGTGTTACGGCGGAGCGCGCCCGTTCGATCCGTGTCCGAGTCATGTGAGGTTGCACTCTGTGTTTTTTGTCTTTTCTGTTGTCTCTGGATCTCGTATCGATTGTTATTCTCGGTATATTCATTTTATGCATAACCCGAGATTGAAAAGGAAACAAACAGCATTGAAAGGGGTCGCAATTCTATTTGACACGAAAAATGCACCACGCGTTCCTCCTAATCTCCGCTCTCTGGAGCCACAATAATGACCCCGCTTCCCCTTTAAACCCATCTTCGTCAGCCAACCAACCCAAATAAACGCAACGACCGAATAAACACACCTCTGTGTCCACCTATTATCCCGGCCGCGCACCCAGCCCCTGCCGCTCACCTCGAAATCGAGCTCGCGGAGCTCAGGCAGCTGCTGCACGAGTGCTAAAAGCGCGCGCTGCTCGTCCTCGCGCGTGATTGGCTTGCGGCGGAGGGTGTGCCAGAACGTTTGCTTTGCCAGGCGCAGGGACACGAGCGAAGTGGGGAGGGAGAGGAGCCCCGCGCATATGCAGTCGACGAGACTCTGCGGGATCCCATCGTTAGTTGACGCTGGGTACGGAAATAGACGGAATGAACGCACCGCGAGGGATTTTGGGGGAGTCGTGGGCAACACAGGTGGTTGAGGTGGGGGCGGGAAGATTCGGCCTGAGGGAGCTGTAGGTATGGCGATACGGTAAATCGGCGATTTGCGAGGAGTGCATAATAAAGAGCTTACTGTACATGTGCCCTGGAAGGAGGACGTCGGGGATCCCACCCTCACCATCGGAGTCGTCGGAGATGATGATATTTGGGGAGCCTCCGAAACTGCTGAGTGATTCCAAGCTACCGTTGTCCGGCAACTCGATGGTGCGGTCGTCCACCTCCGACATCGCCATATCCAGCTCGTCGTCGTCGCTGAACGGATCGCTCAGGTCGGTGTCGCTGTCGTCGGTGGAAGCGGGCCGGAACTCTCGCACCGGCGGCGGCTCCTTGAGCCCCAGCGCAAGCTCCCTGAGGTCGGGAAAGTGGATCGCGATCGCGGCGCAGAGCTCGATGGCGATGGGCATTGGAGCGCCCAGTGAAAGGGAATGAACGGTGACTGAGGAGTGCGCGAGGTTGACGAGGTCCCTGATTATATCCTTCTTAGCGGGCTTATTTTCATCTTTGAACCCGCTGCCACCACCCAAGTCTATGACGGACGCGGGCCGGTCGGATACGAACGGCGCTGCCAGAAGCCGCGGGCCTTTGAAGACGCGGAGGAGGGGGATAGTGGTGGCTGCCAGAGGTTGGCGGATGGGCTCGGAGAGGAATGATTTGGTTATGTGGAGCCGCGTCAGCTGCGGACAGCGCGCCAGGAATGCGAGGAATGTTTCCGTCGAGGCGTCGGACAACTCTGCTGACAGTGTGACAAGATTGGGGAATGTTATGGTCTCGTCGGCGAGGACAAAGAGAAGGGCGCGAGAATCGCGGGAATTGTCGATGCTCAATGTATGTAGCGTCTCCGGTGACACTATCTCCAAGGGCTCATCGCAGTGGTCTTCGTCGCGGCCGGGGGCAAATCGCGACAGGGTAAATTTCTGCAGCGACAAAAGATCGCCCGTGCGGGCGATGATATCGCACGCGTCCAACTGCAACTCATCGAGTCGTTCGAGAGAAGATAACGCTTCCCGGAATGGTGCATCGATTGTGAAGTAGCCCAAGCGCAGGGAGCTGAGATTTCGGTAAAGGCACAGAGTATCGGAGAAAGTTTGAACCAAGTTCATGTATGTTTCGTCCACCATGCCGATGTTCGTTATCAGTGGATGCGTCTCGACGAGATCTGGGAACTCCAGATTTCCGCGAAAATGCCAAGATCGCACCGAGGAGGCATGAGGGCTTCCCGAGAGTTTTTTCAGACGGACCGTGGACCGGTGAAGGTCTCGGACAGTGGGAATCCAATTCGTGCGGTCGATCTCCTCGGGATCTGGGGCCCTAAAGCGCTGCTGATGAAAGAGGAAGGGCTGGCAAATATCGCGAAAGTATCGGCAGACAAACACCAGACGCCTCAGATCATGAGGAGATGCTGCAAACCAGCACCGAGACCAGATTTCAGTAGGAACTTTCGTCCCGTAGTCGACGTTCATCGAGGTGGAGAGGTGACGTGAGGTGACGTGGCTTCGGTCCTGAATACCGGATCAATGCGGAATCAGTGGTGGTGTCGATGCCGGTGTTCCTATCAATCACGGCATGATGGCCGCCTCACCCAACGTTTCGACGATCCCGAGAGATTCGTTGCACGGGATTTCACACCACAATCATATCCAACTGAGGGCCTAGACATGTCTTGGCGAGATCATTCACCAACTACTGGATCATACTGATTCGGCATCATGCCGATTCTTCAGCGCTTCCACCACGATCTCTGTCATTCTTATAACAGCTTCCTCTTCCTGTGTATCACCAATCAGCTGCAACGCGACCGGCAATCCGCGGAATAAATCCGAACCATCTGCAGGCACATTATGACACTCACAGAGCTTATAGATGTGTTCATCTTCATAGTTGTAGAACGCATGGGGAGGACGAGGATCATCGATTTCCGGATCCACAAATGTGACGGGGAAGATGGAGCAGGCTCAATCGAGAGCGTTCCATAATTTCGCGTAAAATGCATCCCTGTTCAATGGATTCAGTTATGCGCACCCTTCTCTTTAAAAGCTCGGACGGACGTGTTGAATCCGTGTGGTACT